CACTTAAAACCTGTCAAGACCCTGACTCTTCTGATTTCTCTACCCCCAACGCAAACTTCTGATCCTTCATGTTTAATCCCCTGACAGACCCTCTTCTCTCTGCAGGTCTCTACTGGAGGTACCAGTTACCACAGGATGATATTCCAAGTAATTAACAGGGGCCTGTCCAGTCCTGAGTGGAGCCCTGGGTTCAGACATTAACTCTTTCAGTGATGCTACTAAAGAGGGCCTGGGAGAGGTGGGAAGGAGCTAGGGTGTCTTATGGGAGTGTGGTGGGAGTGAGTACTTGGCTGGCTGGTGGCAAGGGTCAATTGCCAAGCAGCATGAAAATATTTTAAGCTAACAGCTAGTGTGTCTAGGCCAGCATTTTCAGCTTACTGCAGCCCCATGGATCCCTTTGTGGACAACTGAGAGAGAGGTGTGCGCTCTCTCTAGGTGTGGAGACCTGGAACACACAGCAGTTGTGAAAATGGTTATTCTAGTATCTCTTTTGCTTCCTGAATACTGAGATAAAATGGCTTCATCTTTTATTAATAAACCTAATGATTTTCAACATCAGAAGAAAAAATAAAAAACATCAGAGACAGTTCCCTGCTGGGAGTTAGCAAAGAAGATAGATATGGATCCACTCCCTACTTCTCAGTCTCTTTTGGGGCTCTGGGTGTCTGGTTCCTGCTGGTTCTTGTGGATGCCCAGCCAACAGAGGGAAGCAACTGTAATTTGTTTTATGCTTAGCTCCTGCAGGGCCCAGTACTGCCTTTTTTTTTTTTTTTTTTTTTTTTTTGACAGGCAGAGTGGACAGTGAGAGAGAGAGACAGAGAGAAAGGTCTTCCTTTGCCGTTGGTTCACCCTCCAATGGCCACCGCGCTGATCCGAAGGCAGGAGCCAAGTGCTTCTCCTGGTCTCCCATGGGGTGCAAGGCCCAAGCACTTGGGCCATCCTCCACTGCACTCCCGGGCCACAGCAGAGAGCTGGCCTGGAAGAGGGGCAACCGGGACAGAATCCGGCACCCCAACCGGGACTAGAACCTGGTGTGCCGGCGCCGCAAGGCGGAGGATTAGCCTAGTGAGCCGTGGCGTCGGCCCAGTACTGCTTTCACTGCCAAGTTTCACACCGTATCAACATCACAATCAAATAGCCTTTTAGTCCTGCCAAAATACCAGCCAGCGGATGACTTCATCATCCTCTCCCAACCTGCCAGCAGAGGGCAGCCCTCTGTCGCGTCCCAGGACACCAGGCCCTTTTACTGGGCCCTCAGAAAGAGCAGAGAGAACTAGCTCCACACAGGAAGCAGAAACCTGTGCTTTGGATGCCACGCCTGTGCTGCCCCCAAATCCACAGATGCGAACCCTGAGCTCCAAGGTGATGGCATTGGTGATCAGCTCCTGAGTGGGACAAATGCCTCGAAAGAACAGGCCAGAGCGCTACTTCTCTCTCTGCCACGTGAGGACGCGATGAGAAGTCACCATCTGCAGCCCTGGAGAGCTCTCATGAGAATGCAAACATGACCCCAGACCTCCAGCCTGCTCAACCACACGAAATGACTTTCTGTTGGTTTCAAGCCACCCAGACTAGGATACTTATTATAGCAGCCCAGGCTTCCTGGAACATCTGGTTTTGATTCGTTTGGTTTTCGAGGGACCAATAAATCCAGACGTCTGGATAGGTATCCAACCAAGGCAGAAAAGGTTCTCCGCACAGGGAGAAGAGAATTCAGAGACCATATGTAAAGCCCAGACTCTTGTAGCATCCATCTGGGAAGTCTCCTCTTTCTTTGAGAACTACAAAGTTGGAGTCGCTAACATTCCTGATAGCCATTTGAACGCTGACCAGACACGATAGGCTGGAGTAACAAGATTTTCATTTGACATCCAAAATTTGGCCTCGGGCCTTTTGTTACCGTTTAAGCTGAGTGAGCTGCTGCATCTTCAGCTTCTTCCTTATCCAGAAAACGGGAGAGGTATCTGTTAGGGATCTGCATTGTCTATATGTTGAAGCCCTTCCTCCAGTCAGACTGTCTTTGGAGACAGGGCCTTTAAGATGGGAATGAAGGTTGGAGGAGGTCATGAGGACTGGACCTCGACCCAGCAGGGCTGACATCCTTGTAAGCACACCCAGTGGAAAGGACGTGAGAGGACAGCCACCTTCAAGCAAGGAAGACAAGCCTCACCAGAAACTAAACTTGCTGGAGCCTTGGGCTTGGGCTTCTGGCCTCTGGAGTTGTGAGAAAGTAAGTTTCTACTGTTTTAGCTAGCTAGTCTCTGGTATTTTGTCAGGGAGTTCCAAGCAGACTAACACAAGTACCTAATGTATACAAAGCATCGGGCCAGTAGTCATTCAAGTATTTATCTCCCTCGTCCACATCTTCCACACTTCAGATACAGATATTCAATGTCCTGTTAGAGTTCTTCCCCAGACATTCCCAGCAGGTCAGGGTTTCCTAATACAAGGTAATCATTTCTCCAAAACCTTATCTTTCTAATGACCTGGGCTAAAAACCCTCCATCACGCTGTTTCTCTCCTGTCTGTTCCTCAAACCTGATGTGTCCCCAGGCCACTCAGTCTATTCGGCCCACTTGGTCGCCACGGTGCCTCTCGGTCGCCATGGTACCTGTCTCCCACTTCTGCTCCTCCTCTCCAGAACCTTCTGCAAGCATTCTTGGTGCTGGGAAGAGTCTTCTTGATATTCAGTGGCGACAAAAGGCTTCGTGACCCAAGTCTCTACCTTTCGACTGACCTAGAGGCAGTCTTCACAGGTAACCAACTTAAAGTTTTTGCCAACCTAAAAGTTTTTTCCAAAAACTTCAGTGACTTTCCAATTTCGGAGGAAATGCAATTTCTTGATTATTGAATCAATACTTTGAAATGTGTGTGTGTGTGTGTGTGTGTTAATGTCTGCAAAGTCCATAAAATGGGGGCCAGCGTTGTGGCATTGTGGATAAAGCCACTTCCATCAACACCAGCATCCCATATGGGCGTGGGTTTGGCTCCCTGCTAATGGCCCGGGAAAAGGAGAAGGCCCAAGGGGCTGAGCCTCTGCCATCCACGTGGGAGACTGGATGTAGCTCCTGGCTCATGAAACCCAGCCCTGGCCCTTGCATCCATCTGTGGAATGAACCCAGGGAGGGACGATCTCTCTGTCTCTCCCTTCTCTCTGTAGCTCTGTCAAATAAATTAAACTTTTTTAAAATCCATAAAATCCATGAATGGAAATGACATTAGCTTTCTAAAACTATACAGACTCTGTGTGTATAACTCAAAGAACATGAAATAATCACCCAAGTCATGAAAAACTAACCACCCACCTTGGGGGAGGGTGTGAAAATAACCTTCCAAGCCCCCCCTCAGACCAAGTGAATTTCTGATCCATTAAAGGTTGATCCATTTTATAAATCTCTTCTTTCATTCAACCAATACAAGCATCATAGGCATGGATAAAGAATGAGTGATACAGTGAGCAGGGAGCCCCTAAAGCATAGACTGAAGAGAAACAGAGAGGGAAGGTAGGACTTCTCAACTGGACAGGCACAGACTGGGAACTGCCCAGAACTAACTTCTCATCTCCGTCGTCAGTCTTCTACTAAACTTCCTGCTTGAACTTTCTCCAGGGAAACTTTAAATTGAATGATTACTACAAGTGAGGAGCTCACAGTCCAGTAAGGGAGAGGGAGACGAGACGGAAACATGGCTCATTAGAATTCAGCTTGAAGAAACAACTTTTTTTTTTTTTTTTTGACAGGCAGAGGGGACAGTGAGAGAGAGAGACAGAGAGAAAGGTCTTCCTTTGCCGTTGATTCACCCTCCAATGGCCGCCGCACCGCGCTGATCCGATGGCAGGAGCCAGGTGCTTCTCCTGGTCTCCCATGGGGTGCAGGGCCCAAGCACTTGGACCATCCTCCACTGCACTCCCTGGCCACAGCAGAGAGCTGGCCTGGAAGAGGGGCAACCGGGACTAGAACCCGGTGTGCCGGCGCCGCTAGGTGGAGGATTAGCCTAGTGAGCCGTGGCGCAGGCCCTGTTCATCAGCATTTTATACATGGCCATGTTCAATAAATTTCAACAAGGACAGACCCCTTGTCACCCTAACATGGGGGACAAACATGTCAGTGGCTATGTGCTTCTATTTAAAACCTCACTGCTTGTCCAAAACTCACTGGGAAGCTTAAGTGACCCTTAGAAACGGAGGGCTCTTTCCTTCATAGGTGTCTCTTTCTCGCCAACAGTCTTGACTGAACCAGAAGAAAAGTGGACTTACATCTCGGGGAGTCATTCTTTTGCCACTCCAAAGTGCAAGTTGCTTGGTTACTAGGTAATCAGGAAGCACACTAAGCACAGCCCCCGGGGCCCAGAGTGTTCCTCACTAAACCCTGCTGACGCTCATGCAACGTTAGGATGATGTAGCTGACTCCAACCACTCTGCATAGGCTCACAACAGCCCTCTCAGTAATGGCTCCCGGCCGTAGTTCTCCAAGTGGGTCCTGGAGACGCATACCAGCGTCTGCTGGGAGCCTCCCCGAAATGCAGAATCTCCAGCCAAGCACAGACCTACTGAACAGACCAGCAACCTGGGCAGGGGTGGAGGTGCTGCTCCGATTAACCTCAGGTCCCTCAGCACCTGTGTGCTTACCTGATTGACTGGCTTCCAGTGTGTTTGACTCATTAACCTAAATTCCTTGAAGCTAAAACTGTTTTGCTCAGTTTCATTTCTACCACTTTTGATGACTGAATAAATTAATAAAACAATCTAGGAGCCAAATGATTTTTAACCACACATCTTATTGGTATAGGTGGAAGAAATTTCAGTAATACTTAAAGAAGACAACCTTTGAGCTTTTTATTTCCCCAAATAAAACATATGGAGGTTATATAAGAACGGAGTTTTCTAAAGGAATGAAGGATTCGGCATGCAGTAAACATCTGAGGTATGTTGGAAGTTCAGCAGAATTGGGGTGGGGCCCTTGAGGGCACAGCACATTTCCATTCAAGGAGCTGACACCTACTAACGTTTCTAACAGTGGAACTTTATTAATTTTAAGCAGCTGTTATTTTTCTATCTCATAAAATGCTCATAAAAGAAGCATAAGGCTTTGGTACCACATGTTAATTACCATAAACATTACTCATCTATTCCCAAAATGCAATTCAAGTAAAACTGAGAATACATTAAAATCTAAAGAGTATCAGCTTTACTTTTATAGAGGATATGTAAGTCTGTCAAAGATAGAAAGGTCAACTATGAAATCTCACAATGTACAGAGGACCTTCTGTTGCAGGACCCTGTGGTTGCTATCAAAATAGCAAATTCATGAAATTCAAGCTGCCCTGGTCCTAGCCAGAAGTTACTCCAGATATAATACTAAAACAATACTCACAGGTCCTCAGAAGGGCCCTACAGCCATGCCCCTGCCACAGAGTGACTTGGCTCTAACAGGCAGATCAAAGATCAAGTCTACTATAAACGTTGTCTGTAATCACCTCACAGAACACTCTGGATATTCCCACTGGGTGAAACTGCTGTCAACAAGGCCATACTCTATGAACCTGCACTCAACACAAGGCTGAAGAGGAGGCAAAGTTCAAATTCGAGGAAATAAAAAAACAGACAAAACAAGCAATTATATCAAAAGCTGTGCTTTTTCGGTCTTTAAACTTATATCAGTTGTCTAGATCACTACAATTTCCCAGGAAAAAAAGAGAAGGCAGTAGTATGCAAAATACTTCATTTTTTATTTCTATGGATAACTGTCATTAGTATAGCAGAAACTGACATGATTATAAAAGATACCAAAAAAAGTGTAAGAATGTTAGTATTCAATAGAAATTAAAACCTGAGCTGAAGGCTGATCAGGGTAACCGACAACTGGCACCGCTCTGACAGAAGTTACAGGTTTACGAGCCTTAACTCCTGTAATGCAGAGGAAGTTAAATGTCCAAGGAGCTACAATACAATGACACTAACATTAAATGACTTATGTTGTTCACAAACACTTAAGCTAAATCTAAAGTTTACACTCTTGAACATGGTGAGGCATATACATTGTAGGTTTTTAATTAGCAAGAGAAAAGCTAAGTCTGTTCTTAATCGTTTATTCCTGTAGCTCTAAAGGGCTGGTTCAGTTGGGCAAAAGTGATCATCAATATTGGAATGGATCATCATACATTCACCCCACCTTCTGGAAAACAAGTGACATGGCAGTAACACCATCACACAGAACAGTTATTAGCAGGAATACACCTGCGGTCTAATTCAGTTCTTACTTTAGACTCCACGGTATCTCTTATGAAGATTTTGGTGAAAAGCAATTCGTAACTGGCCATAAGCAGAAGGGGAAAAAAACCTAAGAATGCAAGCAACAATGGCCCTGTTGATTCAGAATCTGTGAACATGAATAGATTCTAACATGTTGAATAGAGTCACATTCACACACCAATGGTTAATATACTACAAAACTTTACAAACATAAAATCCCCTCATTCGTTGAGAACTTCAAAGCCAACAGAAATTCTTCTCCCTCCTAAGTAAATTTCTTCCACAGGAAGTCCTAAAACTTGAGTAACGCCTGGCGTGCCTGTGCTTTCACAAACGTGTCATTAAGCATGATGGTTTTTGTTAAAGTGAAGCAGGAAGCAATTTCATGAGGTCAAGAAGGCTTCCATTCCCTCACAGCATACTTTTAATTCTTTCTGCTCCACGTCACACAGACAAGAAACAAGGGCATCTAGGCTCGTGTAGTTTCTTTTATCCCAATAAAGTCATTAACTTCCTATTATCTGTCTTCCGAGAAAGGATCCAGCACTACATGCTCCACTATAAAGCATCTCCAGCCTTCACAGCATGTATCTTTTTGTAAAGAGGGCTGAGGCAGTGCCCTCTGCTTAGCGGAGGCCGGCCACCGACTTCCTCCCTGTGCCGGCTTTCCAGGAGGACACCACGTGCGTCTTTGCCCTGATATTTCTGCCCCGGGTCTTCCGAGGCTTCTCCTCTTTGTGCACCTTCATGTGCTGCCGCAGGTGAGAACTCTGGCTGAAGCATTTGCCGCACTCACTGCACTGGTAGGGTTTCTCCCCGGTGTGCGTTCTCTGGTGCTGAATAAGGTGAGAACTCTGGCTGAAACATCGGCCACACTCATCACACTGGTAGGGCTTTTCCCCGGTGTGAATCCTCTGGTGCTGAATGAGGTTGGAGCTCTGCTTGAACCTTTCTCCGCACTCATCACACTTATAGGGCTTCTCCCCAGTGTGGATCCGTCGATGCTGGATGAGATTGGAACTCTGAAAGAAACTCTTCCCGCAGTCGGCACATTTGTGAGATTTCTTTCCAGTGTGGATCTTCTGGTGTTGAAAAAGAGTTGAACTCTGACTGAAACTCTTTTCACATTCAGTGCATTTGTAGGGTTTCTCATCCAGGCTTCTCCTCAGTCTACTCAAGCCTGAGTCGAAACGAATGGTCATCCCCCATCTCTGCCGCTGCTGGCCTGTTTTGCGCTTGTTCTCATAGGCTTTTCCCTGGCTTGAGCTCCGAGAAATGCCCGCCTTAGGTTTTCCTAACTTCATGGTGAACAGCCAGATGCAATCAGAAGGAAGTTTACGGTCCTCTTCTAAACTAATGCTTCATTTCCTAGAGCGACACAGAACTTTCTGCAGGTAGAGAAAAAAAATACAAATACAAATCTTATTAATTATTCAAATTTAAGATCTCTTCAAGCCACCAAAATCACAACCATGTTTAAAATAAAAATGTATTTGGTACTGATGAAAACAAAGAGGGGAAAAAAACAGATGTAGAAATACATGCAAAACAACTCTGGATAATAAACATCATCTCATGTTGACTGAATTTACTTTTAGAATGTTTGTCTTTTGAAACAGAACTAAAAAAAAGTGAGGTGATGAGATAGAATTTTTAGCCATTAGCATATAAATGTATCATTTTGAAGGATTAAAAAGTGGATACAAGATAACACCTTAAAAGAATAGACGAAATCATTCCAGAAGACAACAAAGTTTGTGAAACAAAATATCATTACATTGTACTACCTACTCCCTGGGGCCAGCGCTATAGCGGATAAAGCTGCTCCCTCCAGTGCCACCATCCCATATGGGTGCTGCTGAGTCCTGGCTGCTCCACGTCTGATCCAGCTCTCTGCTGTGGCCTGGGAAAGCAGTGGATGATGACCCAAGTCCTTGGGCCCCTGCACCCAGGTGGGAGACCCGGAAGAAGCTCCCGGCTCCTGGCTTCGGATTGGCACAGTTCCGGCCATTGAGGCCAACTGGGAACTGGGGAGTGAACCAGCGGATGGATGGAAGACCTCTCTCTCTCTCTCTCTCTCTCTCTCTCTGTGTAGCTCTTTCAAATAAATAAATAATTTTTTTAATCTACTCCCCTGACTCTCTAAGGTTTCCAAACAGAATGAAATGACAAAGTACCCACTTTATGATATATTCATTCCTGCTTATTCCCATTTGTTTAGCCATTGTACTTCCACAGCTGTTGATGGCAACGCGGCTCTAACTCTGTGACATAAATCATGCTGAATGTAAAAAGTACTCAATAAGAAGTGGTAGATTAACTTCGAGTCTAGCTATGATAAACACGTACTAGATGAGAACTTGCCAGCGACGCGGGCCTTTGTTATTACTTTATTCCTAGAGTCTAATGATCCAAGAAAGAGGACGGTTCTTGAAACAAAGAGTGCTTCAAGAAAGAGAAAGAAAAGTTTCACTTTTACCTGATAGAGGAATAAAAACGGAGTTGAGAAGAACTCAAGAAAAGGAGAAGTGGCAAAAGTAAATTTACATGTAAAAATAGGATGAGATTCTTAAAATACCCACATGCTGCAAAAAAGCTTCAAGTATTTACTTAGAAGGTTGTCCTGAGGCTGTTTAAAATAGCCCAGGCAAACAACCAAAGACCCCACAACTCCAAATAGGTGGCAATGTGGGAGAGGCTGTGACTGCCAAAGTAACACCGTCATTATGTCCCAAATCCTGTGCCTGAAAGAAGACTTTAAAAAGGGACTAATTACCCCGGGTTTCTAGGCATACAGACACAGGAAAAGACACATGACATCATTTCTCTTTACCTTTCCCTCACGTGACTGTGTAACTGAGACTCTGAGGCTAACAGTGCCCAGGATTTCATCGGGACATTGAACAACAACACGTGATGCAGAAAGACCAAACTGCTCCGTAACAGCTAAGTCCTTAATCCGGGCAAATATTTATAAAACAGGAACTGCAAAGGAGGCATTGTGTTAGGCACATGCTGTTGGTGGTCAACAAACACCCATAATGGGAATTACCTATTTTTTTAAAGGCGCGTGCATTTTTTTTTTTTTTTAACTACCCAAGTCGGATCTGGGTGGCAACTCTGAGACTTAAACGTCCTATTGTGCTGCCTTGGGCTAGCTCCGCGCCATCACCTCCGCTCAGAGCTGAGACCACGCAGGTGCCCCCAACCCCTCGCCGTGCAGCCTGTGCGTAGGCGGCGGTAGCTTTGTCCGCGGCCCCGGCTGCCCTCGCCCGCCCTGGCGCTGCGGGCCCGGGGGCTCTGCCAGCAGGTGCGCGCGAGGGCAAAGGTCAATTTGAGTGACAGGAGCCGCTCATCCCCCAAGCCAGGCCGCTCCCGGGCAGGGGCCTCGGGGTTCCCTTTGGTGGCGCATCCCCCCGGGGAGCTGGAAGTTTGAGCGTTATCCGCAACCAGCTCGGACGCACCCCGCAGCGCCTCCGCGCACCCCGCAACCAGCGGCCAGGCCCGCCGGGCGCTCTCGGGCCTGGGGGCCGCGCCGGGAAGGCCTCTCTCCGCGGCCGCGGCGGGGCCGCCCCTGCCCGCCGCCCCCGTCAGGCCAGCAGGCCCCAGCTCGGAGGCCGCCTGCCCGCGCCCGCGCCGCCCCCCGCGCCCCGCGCCCGCGCCCGCGCCCGCGCCTCGGGCCCACTCACCGCGCCGGGCCCGCCGCCGCCGCCCTCGCTCGCCGCGCGCCCCTCGCGCCGCCGGAAGTGCGGGCCGCGCCGCTCGCCCGCCGCGGGCGCTCTAGCCACCTGGAGGAGCGCCCCTCTATGGTACCGGCCCACCCGCCGGCGCTCCCTGCCTTTCTGCCTGTGGGTGTTCGGACCCCCGTACGCCCCCCGCTCCCCGCCACGGCTCTCGCTCCTCAGCCGGCGTCCGGTGACGCCCCGCACATCACAGTGCCTCGGGGTGTCCCCGAACCGCCCTGTGGGTCGCCTGAGCAGAGCTCCCATGAGCCTCTGCGACAAAAGGAGTGGGCAGGAGGGGGTACACCTCCTCTGGATCCCAGCTCTCCGATAAGAACCGGACACAGACCGCGTTGAGTCACGCCTGGGACGGTCAGAGCCCGGGAGTCCCCCCCCCCCCACACACTAATGTCCTGTCTGCCGCTCCCCTCACCTCACAGGCTCCCCGCTGCAGGCAGCCGCCCAGCCATGCTCCCTCATGGGTCCGCTTCCTGCTCCTGGGGGTCCCCTCCTCCTGTCGGCCAGCATCCACCAACTGGATGTGTTGAAGACCCTCGCCTGGGTGACCCCACACTGATCCTGGAGGCAGATATTACTGAAATCCAGTCCAGGGCGCCATATGCATGTGTAATGGACACTCCAAACCCACCATACCCCAAAATGAACTCCTAATGACTCACTTGGCCTCCTCCCAGCAATTGGTGACAACCCCATTTTTTTTTTCAGTTGCTCGAGTCAAATACTTTGATGGCATTGTGGGCCCTGATTTTTTTAAATTTTTTCTTCTGTTTTCACCCAAACCCACATCCAATCCATTTGAAAATTCTATTGGCTGTCTTGAAAATATATTCAGAATCAAGCCACTTTGAACAGCTGTGCTGGAAGCCGCCACCACCTCCTGTCTGGATAATTTCACTGTCTACTGATGTGCTTACGGCCCCAGAGTGATCCTCTTAAAACCCAAGTTACACCGTTAATTTGTCCAAAATCTCCTAGAGCCCTCTTAGTCTTGTTGGCGCAAAAGCCAGCAACTTTGCAGTGGCCCACAATGCCTCTCCTGGTTTGTCTCTTTGGCTCTTTGCTGTACCCTTAGTGCTAAAGACAGTGCTTAGCAGGTAGCAGGCACTTGGTGAATGTTTGCTGAATGAATGAACATGGAAGATGACTTGTTTACAAAGTGCTTTCACACCTGTTCTCTGGTCTTTCATCTTTACTATGGTCTGGTGAGGCAGGGGATTGTCTGAGTCCTGCAGATCTGTAAAATGAGGGAAGAGGGGGAGACCAAGTGGACGAAAGGTTCAAACTCTCAGGCTGCGGCTTTGTGTTCTGCAGCGAGCAGCTTCCGCAGACGGCCGAGCAAAAGGCTGGACGAGGTCTGAACCAGGAAGGTCAAGCCAATAATCCAGGGAATGCACGGACTGCTGTAAAAATCAAATGAGACAATGTGAGGTACTTGGCACAGCGCATAGCATTTAAGAATTGTGAACCATTGTTATGATGTTGTAGGATCTTGATGGTGGTGGATGGAGAGGCTGGGGAGGAAGGGCGATGGCCAGAAATGCCTTAGGAAAAGTTTCAAGAGCAGTGACCTGCTAGGACTGTTTGCACTGCATTAAAAAGAGTTTATTTTCTTCAAAACATATACTTTATTAATCAGATAGTCATAAGCAAACAGAAACCCTTGTCCGAGTCCCACGTAAAGGTGGGTTATCCATTTCTCCACACCTGAAACCAGTTGGTCTAGAGATACGTAGAAATAGAATCGGGTAAAGACTGATACAATTTTATTTTTAAAAAAAGATTTATTTATTTGAAAGGCAGAGTTACAGAGAGAGAGAGAGGTCTTCCATCCACTGGTTCAATCCAAAGCCAGGAGCCAGGAGCTTCTTCCGGGTCTCCCATGTAGGAACAGGGGTCCAAGGACCTAGGCCATCTTCTACTGCTTTCCCAGGCCATAGCAGGAGCTGGATCGGAAATGAAGCAGCCGGGACATGAACCAGCGCCCATATGGGATGCTGGCATTGCATTTACCCGCTATGCCACAGTGCCGCCCCCGATGCAGTTTTAAAATGGGAAAGATGAAAGGATAAAGGGGTGTAGGTGTCCCAGAATGAACAGAGGGAGAGATTAAGACTGAGAAGCAATAGCCATAAAAGGGGATCAAGGGGGAGGAGACGGAAGAGAAGGACCAGAGAAGAAGAGAGAAGCAGCAGGGTTCCACACCCTGGATGTATACGCTAGCATCATAGTTAACTCTGGGTGCTTGCTGTGTGCCAGGCACTGTTGGAAGTACTTGGGGGCTCTTCTCTAATAGTCCTGTGGTGTGATTGTTCCTGGACACTTTGCTCCACCCTTCTCTGATGTTCCATCCCTGCCTATCGTGGTGTGACTCACAGGGCCTCCTCGTGAGCTCCATGCCCAGCCTGCTGATGTTGACTTGACGGTGTGACTTGCATTGGCCATGACCTGCACATGAGCAGGTGCAAGGCACAACGTGTCTCAGAAGGAGCTATGAGTCCTGTGTTCCTGCCAGCTTTGCTTGTTCCCACTGCCTCCAGGATAGCATGTCCCCAATCAGGCTGTTCCTTCAGTCTAGAACCCAGGATGAGAAGACACATGAGCAGAGCCCCCAGGCTCACCTACAGCCATGTAGTCCCATGGGACATGCGCAGAAATAAATGCTCTTACTGTAGAACAGAGATTTTGGTGTAGTGTGTTACTGTAAGAAAGCTGACTGATATACCTCCCACCAACCTTAAGAGATGAGAACTATTATCATCCCCACCTTATAGATAAACTGAGGCAAGCAGCCTGCCTGGGGTCACACATTTGTGAATGGCAGAAGTAGGCTTTGCAGCCAGAGCCTGACTCTACAGCCCATGCTGTTAGCCTCTATATAACAGCATGCATTGCAAATGGAATTGCAGGTGACTTAAGCAAACTGAGAAACTGAAAATGGTCACATGTAGCATTTGCAAAACGCAAAGGAGAAAGGGGGATGATAGTGGTCGGGGCATCTAACAGAGCATCTTGGTTGGCTGTGAGGAGCAACTCGGACTAGACTAAGTTACTGGAATTAAGACTTATTCTATGCATCTGCTCTCCCACAATATGGCGCTGAAAGGGAGTAAACAACTTCTACGCAGCTGCCTCTCGCCAACTTGACTGATAAGCTGCAGGAGCTGATCCTGCTCCTGATTGGAGGAGAGCAGCGTGCTCGGCGTGTGGGTAGCAGAGTTGGGATTGGTGGAAGAGGACTATAAAGGAGGAGAGAGACAACATGCACCAGAAAACATCTGAAGGAACATCTGAGCAGCCCCCGAGAGAGCCGGCCGGCAGTGTGCCGCTCCCCCGCGGAAGTGGGGAAAGTGGCAGGGGGAGCCGCCCCTCCACGGAGGTGGAGGGGTCGGCAGCCAACCCGGGAAGGACCAGCAGCAAACCCGGGAAGGGCCGAGCAGACAAAAGAACAGCGCAGGGTCTAGTGTCGTTCCTTCGCAAATGGGGGAGCGACAGTTGGCAGTCTGGGCTAAGAGGGCCCAGACCCCTTATTGGCTGGGCTCTTCTGGGGGACTACTGGGCAGGGGCTGGTGTACCCAGAGCCCCATGGTAGTTGAAAGGTTCATGCTGGGAAGAAGAGTCTTCTGGGCTGAGAAACATGCTGGCAGGACTATTTCCTCTTCTGTGGCTTTGGTGCCTACCCCATTGTCCTGTAGATGCCTGGAGTCCCCGCCCTCCACCCCCCCCAGACACACAGCACACACAAGTACAGATACACATAGACACACACAGACACAGATACAGACATACACAGACACACACAGAAACAGACACGCACACACACAGACACAGAGATGCATACACAGAGAAGCACAGACACACAGAGATGCACACACAGATGTACACACACAGACATGCACAGACACACAGACATACACAGACACAGACACACAGAGCTGCACACACAGACACAGATACACACAGGCACACACAGAGACACAGACACACACACAGGCACACATACACAGACATACACAGACACAGTCACACAGAGCCACACACACACAGGCACAGACACAGATACCTAGACACACACACACACACACACACAGGCACAGGCACAGACACCCAGAGACACACACAAATATACAGACACACACACACACACACACACACACACAGTCTCGACAGATAGCATTGCTGTCTTGGGTCTCTATTGGCAACGTGCATGCTCCAAGTCCAGGTGCAGGAAGGCAGTGACAATGCATGGCCCCAGTGCAGTAACGAGTGGTCGATTGGTCACCATCTCCCACGAAGGGGAGCCCCTCGGCACAGGGACCCTGAACAATGGTTCAGTCTACCACGCCTGAGGCTCAGCTTTGTGTTCCCTCGGGTGCTCTGGGAATTCCCATTCCTGGGCCTGCAGAAAAGTCCCTGTGCAAGCATGGTGGGCTGGGGGGTGGGAGCACAGGACCCCACCCCGCTCGCTGTGAGGCTCAGAGCACGTCAGCCCCTGGCTCGCTGCCACACAGAGGCAGTTCGAGGGCTAAATATAGTGCCTGCATCTGGTTGTTTTTATACTCGGAGTTGCTTGGCTTTGACCGACTGAACTTCCTGCCTGGCCCCCACTCCGAGCGGGGGGGGGGGGGCTGTCCCCACTGCACCTGACAGCCAAGTCCTGTTGTCTCTGCAGCTGCAGGGTGCCTGTGTCCCACACACCTGGGGGGGGGGGCGCATTTTGCATTCCCAGTTCCTCCACAAATAACCTGAGAGCCAGGACAGGCCTTGGGTCTCATTTCCCTAGAACGAAGGGCCCAGATGTCCTTGGAGTGAACAGCTTTGTTTTGACAGGTAGCGTATGTACTGGGAGTGGATGGCTATCACTGCAGAAAAACAAGCTGTGTTTTGATCCCTTCTGATAACTTGTTCTGGGCAAGGCTGCTGTTTTTTCCCGAATCAGTCCTTTTGCAATCCTGTTGATTTTGTCCTGTGCTGGTCATCATTTACTCTGGTTGCTGGGAAGACAGCCCCACTGCAGGAGACAATGCTCTCCTTTGCTCCAGCTCCAGACCCCTCTATGACTTTTCATCCTGGTTAGCCTAGGGCTGTACACGCCAGGGAGAAAGGAAGCTGCAATTTGCCCCCCCCCCCCCCCCCGCCCAACAGAAGCCGGCAGGAAACCACCAGATCTGAAATTTGAAATGGGGTGTTGGGGTGCTCTGAATGAGCACCTCTTCAAATGTGGTGTTGTTGTTGATAAAAAGATCTGTGAAGCCCCGGAACACTGCAGAAGAGGCAGTTTCCCCAACTTGCTGGAGTAATTCTGAGCTGTAATGTTCAGAAGTGAATGCTGGGAGCTAGCACTGTGGCGTAGCAGGTAAAGCCCCCACCTCTGGCGCCAGCACCCCATATGGGCTGCTCCACTTCTAATCCAGCTCTCTGCTAGTGCACCTGGGAAAGCAGCAGAAGATGGCCCAAGTGCTTGGGTCCCTGCACCTACGTGGGAGACCTGGAAGAAACTTCTACTCCTACTGGCCCAGCTCCAAATGTTGTGACCATTTGGGGAATGAACCAGTGGATAGAAGACCTCTCTCTTCCTCTCTGTAACTCTACCTATCAAATAAATAAATCTTTTTTTTTTTAAAGTGAATGCTGATAGTGTCTATTTCAAAAGCAATGCTTGCTTAAAAAGGCCTTAAGTACCATTGTAATAACTCACAAAAAGCAAGCCGGCAAAGCAGCAGCCCAGGCTGACAGAGGGCTTCCTGTCCCAGCAGTACCTCGTACTGGTACCTGTCCGGCTCTCCAGCAGGCAGGCCTCTCTTGGCCTGCAATACCACATGCGCTGTCTTAGCCCCACTCCAGGCCTGGCTGATGTCCCGGCCATCCTGGTGTCCAGCACAGGGCAGAGTGTGGCTGCTGTGTCTTTGTCCCTCCAGGGCTGAGCCCAAGCCTGCACAAGGAGCTGCTTGCTTCCTGCCCATCGATAGGTGAGCAGCTGTCCTGCACCCGAGGTTGCACGTACAGGCTGGGGAGTCAAATCACCTGCTTGCGTCACTGTCCCACCTTCTCCTGGGCCCTGTCTCCATCCCACCTGACCCAACCTTGGAGGATCCCTGACACCCTCCTGACGCTAAGATCCTGCCCTTGAGGGTGACGTTACTGTGCATGTCCAGGCCAGCCTCAGGCACCCACGCATGACTCCTCTTCCATGCCCTCCGGCTTCCTCATCTTAGTCCCCCCAGGACATGTGGTGGGAGTGAAAGAATCACATTGGCCTGAAGAGCTGATAGTCCATCTGCCAACCACAGCCACACAGGCCGTAGGACAAGAGTTCCAGAAGCAAAGCCATCACAGTGGACATGGAAAAAAGACAAAGAAGGGAAGGAAAAGAAAGTTCAGCCCTCACTCCCTCAGTCCACGATAGCTCCGTTTTATTGAGCACCCAGGACACCGTGCCATCAGAGGAGACCGAGGACAGCAGCCAGGCCTCCACCCCTTCCCTGTGTGTCTCTGTGACAATGGCACTGGGTGGCGCAGATCCTGGCATGATGCACACCCCGGTGAGCCGCTCCACAGGGCACAGATACTCCCAGGCTCTGCTCTCCCCGCTTTACATGCACTGGAGGTGGACTCTGTCCTATCTCTGCGAGCCTTCACGCTTCTCTTTAAATCCACTTCCCATGGGCTCCCAGGGGGGAAAGAGTGTTGGGCTTCAGTCTGCTCCGTTTTGGACAAACACCCTCGTGATCAGTATAAACTGCTGCATAGTTTTTGCAAAGCCTTTCTCGTTCGTGCCAGAAATTCTCCACTAGTGGACAAACACACACTGTTCAGCATCTGGCCCCAGGGAGCTCAACGCCTCTTCTTCCCGGAGAAACATTTCTCCTCCTACCAGGCTTTGAAGGGAAATCATGAGACCCTGGGGAAAGTAAGAGCCACACAGGCATCCAGGGTGGGGGTGACGGGGCCTGGGTGTAGCCCCCGGAGTCTCACCCACCCACACAGGTGGACCACCTCCCACTGTGAGCCAGCAGGCAGTGAGCTCCTTCTAAGAAGCTAAGACAAACCTCTGCAGTGGGATGATAGGATGCTTGTGGGTTTATCCCTGATCTGCCCTCTGCACCAGGGGCGCTGGGCTGTGCAAGGCTCACAGGTGACGTCAGAGGCTTGGAGGCCAGGGATGCGGAAGTGAAGCAATGGCTGAGGACATTACCTCCCGTAGCTGCGGGAAGCCCCTGCTTTTCCCAGCAGAGTTCCTGGAAGGCTACGATATAGGGGCAGATGAGGGTTTCTCGGTTTGCAAGATGATGATGATAATGGAAGACTGCATGGTCTCTTGGGCCAGACAAAACCCATGCCCACCTCCAGGGACTGGGTCCTATATTGCTCTCCTAAGCAGAGAGAGTGTGGAGTGGACAGAACTGGCCACACCGACCAGCCACACAATGTGGCCAGGGCTACAGTCTCAGATCTATTCACTGCTGGTGCCAGCCTTGCGTGCAAACCCCAGCAAGCAAGTTCCTGGCTCCTCAAGCTGGGTCTGATTCCTGTGTGTGCCAACAGCGAGGGAGGTGGGTCTCATGGTACTGAGGCTTCAGACAGGTGGAAGTACAGGTGTTGGGCTCCTCAGGTGGTGGCCATCACTCAGAGTGACCGCTCAGGGCCCAGCCGCTGGGACTCCGTGTGCACTTGCTGCTGGAGGGGTCAGAAGAGGCAGGGTGCCTGCCAGCTACTTGGTCTCCACCAGCTGCTCCAGGCGCTGCAGCATTGTCAGACGCAGGGCTTGGAACCTGGAGGGAGACACAGCAAAGGGGACCACAGCTGCTGCAGAGGACCAGGAGCCGGTGACTGAGCAAGGGACGTGGTGGGGCCTGGCCCGGGAGACCTCTGCTCCCAAATGGCTGATCGGCAGCCACCCAGGAGAGAGAAGACCCCAGCCTGCCCCATGTACTGTACAGAGCGTCATTCAAACAGACAACCGCCACTTCTATTCCAAAGACTCGAAGCGAGCAGGGGTGGGCTCAGGCAGCCTGTGTTCCCTTGCAGGCTCTGCAGTAATCGGTGCTGCAACCTCCCCGACCTGGGGCCTCCTCTTCTGTGCACTGAGTGTACTCACCAGGTGGTCCCTGGGTCCCTTTCAGCTCTCCACTGATCAGGGTCTCTGTTGACTCCCTGGATGGGGCCCAGCCAGGAAGCCTGCCTGGGTGTGTGTGTGTGTGTGTGTGTGTGTGTGTGTGTGTAGGGGTGGGGGAGTGCAGGATGTGGCTTTCCAAGGGTCATGCAGCCAGAAGTCAAACCAACTTCCCAACCCCAGGCCTTTCCAGCCCCAGGCTGAATGACCTCCACCTGTTCTCTTCCATACTTCACCGGAACAAGTGAGACAGGTCACCGGGACCCAGCTTGGCGAACCTCAAAAAGCCAGGTCCCAACACAGCTTCTCCAGCTGCTGGCAGGTGACATCTGCTCCCCTTCCTTTCCCTCCAGCTGGTCCCCCACACCTAAAAACATGAAAGGGCTCTGGGAATTGCAACAACTGCTCAGAATTCCTGCTATTCAGAAATAGCAGAACCAAATCGCCTGCGGAACTCAAAACCCTGATCCAGCCCTGCCCCCTCTCAAGACCCTCCCCTTCCTGCCACACCCTGCCCTCATCCTCTCCTGCCCAGCTACAACTGTGTCTCGTGCTGGTGTGGGGATGCTGAGGCTGGATGGCGCCCCTGATGTTTTGGCAGCCAGGGGTCAGAGGGCGAGGCTGGGAACCAGGGTTAGCAACAGCTCTCCCTATACTGCAGGGCAGTCGGTGCCAATGGAGGAGAGAGACCTGCCCGCCCAGCAGGTGAGGTGCCGCTTACTTCATGGTCAGTTTGATAATTTCTCTTTCCTCCTCTTCCTTTAATTTTTCAACAAAACTGTCCAGCACCGGCATTTCAAACTTAATGTACTGAGCAACCTAGAAAATCCAAGAACATTTTAATGTGCTTTCAAATCGAAGCCAATAACACGCCATCTTGCCATCTTCATGGCTTCCACGGGAGCCCAGGCAGCCGCATCTTGCAGCCCCAGAAGCAGCTGCCCACTTCCCACCCAACCCCCAGCGCCGCCCTGTGCTGTGTGCCGAAGCCGGGAGGACGGGAACTGTTGCTTTCTCAAAGGCAACCGTCATCTCCGGGCAGGGGGAAATGTTAGCTGGAATATTAGGAAACGCCCTAGTCCCGCAGTGCTGGCACATGGAGAGGTGGGGGTGCACTGGTGGGAACACCATTGTTCCTGACAATGGAACGAAACGGCACCAGCCCTGGGAAAAGGGTGCCCTGGGAAGAGCCGAGGGACACAGGGCCTCCAAGCCTCCTACTTGGGTCTCTCCATGCACAGCGGGTGTGGGATGTGCTCATTGTCCAGCCTGGATCCTGGCAGTGACCCAGAGACTGCAATGCCTCCTTCCCCTCCTCCATAAGCCCCAGGTAGTCCTGGGTAAAGAGTCCTGTACATGGCTCATTCATGCAAAGACAGCCAAAGGCAGCTGGCCTCCACATCATGCAACCCGGGATTGAAAATAGAAAAAAAAAAAACCATATTGTGTCTGCGCTGAACATGTGCATTGTCGTTATTGACAGCTACTCTGACAGCACTGTACATTGTACAATGCATACCTAATACATTGTATAATGCATACCTAATACATTGTACAATGCATACCTAATACATTGTATAATGCATACCTAATACATTGTACAATGCATACCTAATACATTGTATAATGTATACCTAATACATTGTATAATGCATACCTAATACATTGTACAATGCATACCTAATACATTGTACAATGCATACCTAATACATTGTATAATGCATACCTAATACATTGTACAATGCATACCTAATACATTGTACAATGCATACCTAATACATTGTATAATGCATACCTAATACATTGTATAACGTATACCTAATACATTGTACAATGCATACCTAATACATTGTATAACGTATACCTAATACATTGTATAATGTATACCTAATACATTGTACAATGCATACCTAATACATTGTATAATGCATACCTAATACATTGTATAATGCATACCTAATACATTGTATAATGCATACCTAATACATTGTATAATGTATACCTAATACATTGTATAATGCATACCTAATACATTGTACAATGCATACCTAATACATTGTACAATGCATACCTAATACATTGTATAACGTATACCTAATACATTGTACAATGCATACCTAATACATTGTATAATGCATACCTAATACATTGTATAATGTATACCTAATACATTGTATAATGCATACCTAATACATTGTATAATGTATACCTAATACATTGTATAATGTATACCTAATACATTGTATAACGTATACCTAATACATTGTACAATGCATACCTAATACATTGTACAATGCATACCTAATACATTGTATAATGCATACCTAATACATTGTATAACGTATACCTAATACATTGTACAATGCATACCTAATACATTGTATAACGTATACCTAATACATTGTACAATGCATACCTAATACATTGTATAACGCATACCTAATACATTGTATAATGTATACCTAATACATTGTATAATGCATACCTAATACATTGTATAATGCATACCTAATACATTGTACAATGCATACCTAATACATTGTATAATGCATACCTAATACATTGTATAATGCATACCTAATACATTGTACAATGCATACCTAATACATTGTACAATGCATACCTAATACATTGTATAATGCATACCTAATACATTGTACAATGCATACCTAATACATTGTATAATGTATACCTAATACATTGTACAATGCATACCTAATACATTGTATAATGTATACCTAATACATTGTATAATGCATACCTAATACATTGTACAATGCATACCTAATACATTGTACAATGCATACCTAATACATTGTATAATGCATACCTAATACATTGTACAATGCATACCTAATACATTGTATAATGTATACCTAATACATTGTACAATGCATACCTAATACATTGTATAATGTATACCTAATACATTGTACAATGCATACCTAATACAATGTATAATGCATACCTAATACATTGTATAATGCATACCTAATACATTGTATAATGTATACCTAATACAACGTATACATTGTATTAGGTATTCTAAGGGTCTGGAGGTGGTTTAAAGTATATGGGAGAGGAGCTGGCGCTGTGGCACAGTGAATTAAGCCACGAAGCCACAGCCTGCAGCACCCGCATCCCACATGGGTACTGGTTCGAGTCCCAGCTGCTCTATTTTCAATCCAGCTCCCTGGGAAGGTAGCAGTTGATGACCCAAGTATGTGGGAGACTCACATGGGAGACTCGTATGGAGTTCCAGGCTCCTGGCTTCAGCCTAGCCTAGCCCTGGTTGTTGGGTCATTTGGGGAGTGAACCAGCAGAGAGAGAAGATCTCTCTGGTCTCTCAGTCTATCTAATAGAGGATCTTTCTAGCTATGTCTCTCCTTCTCTCTCTGTAACTGTCTTTTCAAACAAATTTTAAAAAAATTTAAAAAAGAATACGGAGGATTGTATAGGCTCTATGCAGATCCTATGCCATGTAACACATGGGACTTGACACCTGCAGATTTTGGGTGTCTGCAGGGGGTCCTGTGCACACTGAGAGATGATGGCGCGCTAAAGAGAGGAAAAAGACAGGGCTGTGGCTTTTTAGACCCCAAGTTCTTCTTTCCCCCAAGACAGTAACAGGCAGAGGGAGGGCTGGGACCATCACCGTGCTGGACAGGGGGGCTTGGGGACAGCTGTGTGCCCTGGACTCTGGCCAAGGGGGGCTACGGAGCCTGTGGGAGGTCCCCCACGGTGTCTCCCGGCCCCTACTCACATCATGGGGCACCTCCTCGCCCAGGTCTGCTTCCATCAGGAACATCTTGGCGATCTTCTCACAGGGCCCGTGCAGGATTCTGGAAATCAGTGGGTACTCACAATCCTTTAACTTCGTCCTTTCTGGAAAACAAGGCCATTTACACAGCTCCTGGCCCATCCGGGTCAATGATGCTCTTTGGACCAGGACAGGCACGCGATAGAAAAGTGAAATCCAGGGCGGGGGCCCAGGAGACTCTCTCCAGACTGCTGTCCTGGGAGGGGTGTGATTGTGCTGCAGGGGTGCAGACATGTGACCCCAAAGCATGCCAGGATGGCGGGTGAGCCGAGGAGACTCTCCGTGCTCCCCTGTGTGCCTAAAAGCAGGACACCCATTTGGGTTGGTGCGTAGACATGAATCAGCAGAGACCACCCTCGGTCCTTGTCACACAGGGAAGGCACCTGAATCACAAGTGTTGCTGAAGCTGCCTCTGCCATCGGAGTCCCCACTGCTGACCTTTAGGCCACCGGCCACTCCCGTGTCTCTGGACTCCCCTAATAGCAAGCTTCTGTTAAGAGGCGACCTACGCCCATACCCATCCACTCCTTAACCACTCCCTGCAGTGCACGCCCTACTAAACCTCGGCTGTTTTCTCTTTTATTGACCTAAATGTACAGAGCATCATGAACCTGGGGAGGGAGGGGCAAGAGGTTGTTTTCCTTCTGCTGGTATCATTTCACAAAGACCCAGCTCAGCGAGGAGCAGGAGCCTAGCAGAGGCTGGGCCTGCTCCCCGGCCATGAGTACCACAGAAAAAGACAGGAGGGCTGGGACTGGGGAGGTGGCTTCTTCTACAGCTTTGGTGGCAGACAGGAGCCTGCACGGGTTTGGGTTGGCAGGGATGTGCATAAGTGGGAGGCAGCCAAGTGAGGAGGGTCGGGCTGTCCTGAGACCCCACCCACCCACCCAAGCTGGCCAGCACCCAGGCCCCTCAGGGAAGGGCCCAGCCAGCGAGCTTACTGGACAGACAGAGACATTTTGCTTCTACATTGGGCGAGTGAAGGCAAACCCTTACCTCCGGATTCGTGGACAATGTAGAGTGCAAACTCGCCAGGGCCATCTTCCACCTGCGTAGGTGATAGTCACGGTGGGAAGGGGGAGGGGGTAAGGCCAGGGCTGTTAGAGATGACAGGACCCCAGGCAGTAACCACGCCCCCAGTGCCATGAGCTCCAGTCCCCAGGGGCCCTCTCCTTATGGTCTCCGAGAAGTCATCTCAGCAGAGGAAGCTTTGCTCCCCCCAGCCCCCCGAAACAAGGACAAACCACGTAGGGTCCAGGCCACACAGGGCCAGACTCACTCTGAACTTGTTCAGCAGCAGGGTGAGCACATGCAGCGTTGTCATGGTGCTGTTGACCCTCACGTTGGTCACGGAGCCGTAGGCCGGAGTGAACACGGAGGTCTGTGCCAGGGAGGAGGGCAGTTCAGGACGGGCCCGGAGCAGGACAATGGGCTACCATCCTGGTGGCGACCCAGGCTCTCGGGCACACCTGGGCTGTCGGTGCCCAGACACCAGGGCTGCTGGGGGCAGCACATGCATAGGGCGCCCATCTGGACTGGAGAATCAGGATGACGGGAGTCACTCGTAAGGGGGAACCTGCCTCTCCCTCACTCTGTCAATCAAATCAGCCAGCGTCTGCTGACTAAGGCAGGAAGTTCTCCAGTGTGTCTCCTCCTCCACAGTCTCCCAGCAGTGCCTGAGCAGACGGCAGCAGCCCCCCGGCACGCCCCTTCCTCATCTCTACCCTGCCAGCCCACCCTCTACACTACAGCTCAAAAACACAACCTTTCAAAACGCTGCGGCTGGGGCCAGCGCTGTGGCATAGTGGGTAAAGCCGCCACCTGCAGTGCTGGCATCCCATATGGGTTTCGGTTCTAGTCCCGGCTGCTCCACTTCCGATCCAGCTCTCTGCTGTTGCCTGGGAAAGCAGAAGATGGCCCAGGTCCTTGGGCCCCTGCACCCACATTAGGAGACATGGAAGAAGCTCCTGGCTCCTGACTTGCAGCTATTTGGGGAGTGAACCAGTGGATGGAAGACCTCTCTCTCTGTCTCTACCTCTCTCTGTAACTCTATTTTTCAAATAAATAAATAAAATATTTTTAAAAAAACCAAACCTACAGCTCCAGGTGTGCACTGGACCACCATGGACGGCCATGGGGAGGCCCCCACCCCTCCTCTCTGCTCCAGACCCCCCAAATCAGACCCTGCATTTGCAGAACATGGGGCCATCTCTCTGTATCATGAGAAGTGCTGTTCCACAGCACGGTTCCAGCTAAAAATATCTGAAGATTGCGCGCAGCCTGTGCAACACCAGAGGCAGCTCCTCTCATGGACACACGTAGGTGACACCACAATCAGCCTTGTGTTCCAGCCACACTGGCTTCTCCACAACTTAGGGGAGCACGCAGTACCCTTCAGAGATCTGGCCTTGGCCTGTCACTCACTGACGGCCCCTGGCTTACGGTGGTTCCACTGTGATTTTTCAACTTCATGTTGGTGCAAAAGCAACGCAGTCAAATTCAGCAGAAATGGTGCTTTCAGCTTGATCTTTTCCAGGGACGGCTGCATCCAGTGCATTTCCTTTCTTCTTCTTTTTTTTTCCTAAAGATTTATTTATTTGTTTGAAAGGCAGAGTTACAGAGAGAGGGCAAGAGCCAAGAGAGAAGTCTTCCATCTGCTGGTTCACTCCTCAGATGGCCACAAGGGCCAGAGCTGGGCCAGGCCGAAGCCAGGAGCCAGGAGCCAGGAGCCAGGAGCTTTTTCCAGGTCTCCCATGTGGGTGGCAGGAGCACATCTTCTGCTGCTTTTCCCAGGGCATTATCAGGGAGCTGGATTGGAAGTGGAGCAGCTGGGACACAAACCAGCGCCCATATAGCCATCTTTATTGGCCACACCACGACTCCATTCCCCATCCAGTGCATTTTCAACTTAACAAAGTGTTTAGGGGGAAATGCAACCCCATCGTAAGGCAAGGAGCCTCAAAAAATCCACCAGGACACTATCTGATGTAAAGTCTGTCAATGACACTAGCCCTGCACTGAACCTGCTAAGTGTTTAACTGTAATCTTTAACTTAGTTCTCTGAAGTATACCCCCACCTAGCTGTCTCTTCTTAGAAAGGAAACAGAGACTTGAGGTTAGTACGAGGCTTGTCTGGGGCACGCATCCAGACAGCACCGCCGCTGAGGATTCTGTGAAGTCTGGAACCCCACACACAGCCCCCTGGTGCTGCTGCCTTCTAGCCAATGGGACCCTTCTGCAAGTGAGCCCCTCCTCCCTCTGCAAAACCAAGTTCAAGTTCATATATGGGCCTAGATCTGCTTTCCCAGGGAGCTGGCTCAGCTCAGGGTGCTCCAAGGGGCTGGGGCTCAGTGTCCCCAGCTGGCCGTCACTCCAGTGAGTGCCAGCATCGGCCTCAAACTCAGACCTGCTTCCTCCACAGCTGGGACACACAGTGACTCTGGGGCATTCAGAAGAGCTGAGTGTTGAGTTAGGCTTTTAGCTCCCAAGAAATACGGCGCTGGGGAGAGGAATCCGGCTACTTCCCAGAGGGGAGACGTCTTGTCAAGCGAGGCATTGTCAGTGTTGCCTCTGCCTTTTCTCAGAAGGATACCGACCAGCTCCAAGTGGGAACAAAGGTCCCAGGCTGTTTTGCTTCTACCCACAGCGGGTTCCTCCCTAAGAGAACACATTCGAATCCAGCAGGCCAGCCCAGCGCAGTGGGAACAGCCATAAAGCTTCAACTCGGGCTGGCAGTCAAACCAACATGACTGTAAATCAGAACAGTTTTGGAAGATGACTAAGTGGATTCATAGTGCACAGTTCTAAGAAATAAAACTCAGAACCATTACCCGGAAAGGCAATGCTAGGAATTCTTTCGTTGTTTTTTTTTTTAATTGTTAATTATGACTTAAGAAACTCATACCCTAATTTCTAAGGACAAGAATTCTGTACAGATACAGGGTGGGGTAAGGAAGGAGGCTTATGTGTAGGGCTTCTTTTTGGGGGTCCTTTGGGCATGCAGGAAATGAGTAGGAAAGTCCCACATGCCTAAGGTGCTCTTGCACACCCTGGAAGACGGTATGGCCTCCTAGAGGCCCGGATACCCACCACACAGGTGCATCTGTTACTAGGATGAAATGGTGCCCCAACTGGGTGGCAGGCAGAGGCCCAGGGCTCGCTCTCTCTCGCTGGCTAAGAAAAGCAACTGTTGGTTCCGTTGGAACCGAAGGGCCACTGTTCATTTCTGCTCCTTCCAAAGGTCACATGGTGCTGGAGCCCCGTGATGTCTGCAATGACTGAATCTACAAACACCTCTCAGAGATGGACAAGCCCACAGCACAGCAAAGCCCCAGTGTATGGCACCTGAAGCCGCCAGGAAACCAAGCCGGTTCCTAACGCCCCTTTGCAGATGCCAGGGGCCGTCAGTTCCTGGTCTCCTGCAGTCTCCCAGCTTCCCTGCGTGAGTTTCAGGCTTCCTCGTCCTGCTTTTAAGATTGCAATCAACCTCTTACTAAAATTCACGGAATGGAGGGATTGGTACAGCCAGGTCTCAGATCACAGGACTTCTGGGGTCACTCCTCTCCCCTGTAGCTACCATCTGGATTTCTGGTCTCTTGAGGGTTTTTCCAGGAACCTCAGGCCCAGGGCAAGAAGTCACTACCACCCCCGGGCCAACTGAAGCCTGCTTTGCCATCATCGAAATTCCTAAAAGAACACAATACCACTGACCAATCAGTGGAGCGCTGAAGACTACCCCGGGATCTGCACATGAGTTGGGCCTGCACCTCTCAACCCCAACTTCAGTCGACAAGAACTTTGACCCTAAACCCTCTCGGGGACCCTGGGAATTAAGTGTCCATTGCCTGGCTCCTTGCTCCACACTTTGCAAATAAACACCAACTTTCTTCCACCACCCCACTGCCCCATGATTAGCTTGCTGAGTTCTACTGAGGGGA